TTTTCTTCATCTCCCTCTATCCTAAACCCTAGCCGCCCCTAAAATCCCCAATTCCACCACCGGTGGCTGCCACTCTAAATAAGCTCCAAACCTTCACCCAATGATCCCCATCTCATCCTCATCCAATATCACCGCCTTGTTTCTTCAAAGACCATGTAGATTTCCACCAATTACAAATCTAAAAAACCCAGAAACCCTAGCTTCTTTCCCTTTTTTGATTATTCAGATTTCAAGGTTCGATTCAAGCTGAAAATCACATTAATCGATTGTTCTTAATGTTAATTTCAGTTCGTATCGAAGATATCGGAATCCAGCTGAGCTTCGTGGATTTGCTTCAAATTGAACTATTTTCTTTTCATTAGGTACATACTCACTTTTTTTTTCTTTCTCTTTGTGTTTTTCATTTGTTTTTTTTTTAAAAAAAAAATAAAGAAAGAAAAAGAGCAGAGGAACCGTAGGTCTAGGTGTTTAATTGAAATTGTTTGCTGAGTATTTAAATTAGCTTAATTAGGTTGGCTTCGCTCATTAATTAGTTAACTAACAGTAGATTAACATTTAGCTTAATATATTTGTTTTAAGTATTCACATGTTGAATTTATTTTAGTGGGTTGTGTGATTTAGCAATTTAATTGCATGATAATTAGTCTTAATTGTTGAGTTAATTAGATTAATTTTGCTTCATTGTTTCTTGGGATTGATACGTGTGATTTTTTTGTTTGTTATGGCTCATTTGTAACTAACAAAAGCTAAAGGGTTTAATTGAAAAGCAAAAATAGGGAATATTATATAGGCATATAGGAAGCTTCTAGATAATGGACAGCTCTCCAAAGTTGTTAAAAAAAAGATGTTGAAAATTGGATTAAAACATCTAAAAAGGAAGCTGTACAAAAATTGGTTAAAAAGATGGTCTTGTTTCCTTTTTTAACGGCTGACAGACTCCCTTTGATATTCCATTCCTTCATTCATTTTTCTCACTGATTTCTCTAAAAAGAAAAACACTCTAAAAATCCAATTGGAATACAAAAAAAAAAAAGTAAAATTCAAAGTTGCATTTTTTCTAAGTTCTCTACTGAATTTGTTTAACTTGGCTGGGATCTCGAGTTGTATTCAAGCTTAGGAAACTGCTCGTTTAACTTAAATTTTGATGTTGTTTATTGCTGGCTGGATTTTCATCTTTCATCTTTGTTTCATCAAAAGTTCATTGGTTCTATCTCTAGGTACGTGAAATTTTCTATGTAATTCTCTTTTGAATATGAGAATGATGAATGAATTGTTGCTTTCATAAGCATGTCTAATTCTCTGTGTTACTAATGTTGTTTATCATATCTGTTTGTTCTGTTTTGTTCATGAATTTGTATACTTCCCTGATTTGAAATTCAGTTTGGTTTGTCCATCTCATCAATCATGCTTAAACGAACACTTGTTGAGATAAAATTTATCGATTTTCAAATTTGATCACCAGTTGGTCAAATTTGATGATTGAGAAGGTCCAGGCAGCGTTGAAGTGCATCAATTGATAGTCTTGCCTTTCTATGAGCAATAAAGGGCAATCTGGGAATTATGACAGAGGCGTTCTCATATTTTTAGCTGTTAAGGTTGTATTTGATAGAGTAGCCACTGTGATGTACTAATTTTCTTCTTTTTTTTTTAATTTATTTATTTCAAATTCCAGTAGAGTCGAAGTTTAGTCTTTTGTCCCTTTTGTTATATGTTCAGCTTTGAGGCAGTAGTACCCCTAGATTGATTTGACTTCTGGAATTTATGAGATTAGGGAACTCTAATATTGCTATCATTGTTTAGTTACTCTTCAATTCTTGATTGTCGTTTGGATTTGCATAGTCATATGTGATTCTGGGCTATTGAGCCGCCTTGACCAAGGCATTAAGCCCAAAAGTGATTTAATTAGATTAGCTAATGTTAGAAGAGTTCACATGGACTCATTATAAGCTATGGGCCAGCTGATAACATTTTGGCCCGCTTCAGGAACCTGAGTGACCCGTGAGTTTGATAAGCATTAATCCGAATCACTTTCCTAATAATTTAATTAGTTTAATTCCCGTGATTGGCTGAGTCATCAAAAACTTAAACTCAGAAGCACTGTAAATTTTCTTTAGTTCATCTGGGAACAAACGTTGGGATTAATGGGAGGGCTTCTTTTGATATTGAGCCAATTAAAGCAAACAGCCCTCTTCCAACGTAAAGTGCCGTAATTGCAAGGCTTTCAAGCCCGTTTCCAAAATTTTTAGGAAAATGAAAAATTCATAGACATATGTAGTTGCTTTAGGCGCGATTAGTAATAAATCATCGTGACTATGGGTACGGTTCCCGTGTCATAGTCATGATAGATAATCCTCAATTTGAGTGTGCTTTTGACGTGACTCAACCACAACTTCAAATAACAATAAAATAAACACGTTGTAAATTACGGGTGCATTTCACGTGATGTGGTTTGCAGTATGTACTAAAACGGAAAGTGTACGACATCGTAGCTTGTTTAAATATATTCCATAAATACTAAAAGCGGTTAGAAAGTAAAAATGCACATAAGTCTTAAAATATGTAATAATTAAGATAATTAGGCTGATTATTAATAGTTGAGCAACCGTGTTAAAACCACGGAACTTGGAAGTGTCTCACACCTTCTTCCGGGTTAACAGAATTTTTTACCCGGTCTTCTTTGTTCGCGAACCATAAATAGAGTCAAATTTCCTCGATTTGGGATTTTAAAATGAACCAGTGACTTGGGACACCATAATAAGTATCCCAAGTGGCGACTTTGAATTAAATAGATAATCCCATTTCGAATAATGTCACTTTAATTGAAAAAACTCCTTACTCCCTCGTAAAAAGGAGGTATGACAGCTCTGGCGACTCTACTGTGGACCGAACCCAGAATCTCTGGTTCAGGATTTAGAATTCGAGCTTAGAATAACTGTTATACTTGGCTTTTGTTCATTATCTGATTTCTTACGTGTTTGATTCTAATGTGCTAAATGTCGCTTTTTACCGCTTTGATATTGTTTGAACTGTATATAAAACTATTACGAAACCTTTCTTCTCTTTGAGTCTTCTAAATCTTCTGGGAAGTGCACACTGGCGTGACTTCTTTTCTGTCACGACCCAATTCTATAGTAGGTCGTGATGGCGCCCAATGCTGCCGCTAGGCAAGCCAACTGTGAACTAGCCACGTGATTTCCTATTTTTAAATAATTCTTTCAAGTGATTAAACTTCCCTTAATTTTTAAAGATTTGTGAAATAATAGATTTGAAATAAATAACACGAAAGAAACTGAGTGAAATCATAATCGTGAAATAAAACCAAAATCACGAGTCTACTAGTGTGTGTGATAAGACCTGGTGTCACAAGAGTATGCTCTACTAGTAGAATATACAAAAGATCTCTACTCTACTGTCTAAAATAAAATAGACAGAACAATAATAACAGAAAGACTTCGGCTGCTACAGACGGCTCGGAAGGGCAGCTCACCGTGTAGTCTAGTACTAGGAGTCAAGCGTACGCGCCGGGCTGATAACCAGATGTACTTGCCTCAGATCCTGCACATTTAAGTGCAGAAGTGTAGCGTGAGTACATAAACAACATGTACCCAGTAAGTATCCAGTCTAACCTCGAAGAAGTAGTGACGAGGGGTCGACTTTGAAACTTACTATGGGCTAACAATGATATATCAAAATTATATACTAAGCATGGATTACATGAATAATACCGAAAACTCAATAACAGGAAATAGTGAATACTCCTTTCACAAATATTAAGTCCAAAATTTAATTTCATCATTTAACAGTTTGTATCTCAAGGCATTTACGCAATATCAATTATGAATAGTTCCAATGATTTATCATGCGCAAAATATGCCGAGGTCGTACGGCCCGATCCAACATAATATTTAAATTGTGCATGCCGAGGGTCAAACGACACGAACCATAGATGCATCTATCTGCTACCGAGGCGTTCGGCCCGCTCCATAAATAGAAAATACCTCAAAGAAACACAAATTTTCAATAACAGTCAAGTGTCTCATTTACAACTTCAAGTATGTGAAATTTAACCTTTTACAATTCTTTTATAAACTTTCAATAAACATTGTAGGTATAGCATGATACGGGTTCTAGACTACCGGACAATAGCATAATTAGTAGCTACGTACGGACTCTCGTCACCTCGTACATACGTAGCACCCACAAATAGGTACACATATTTATTTAATTCACCAATGGGGTTAATTCCCTCTTATAAGGTTAGAAAAGAGACTTACCTAGTCTCAAAGCCTGCTTTCGGGTCCAAGGTTGTGCTCAAACCCCCAAATTTGGTGCCAAACGGCTCGAAACTAAACAAATATGATATAAAGTAATCAATACATACTCAAAAGTTCATATTCTAACTATCAAGTGATTTCCCAAGCCTATTTGAAGAATCTCTAACGAGCCCGGATTCCAGAAATTTTTGAAGAAAGTTATTACCCATAACCCCATGAAGTCAAATATATAATTTTCACTAAATTCCATAACCAATTTCGAGGTTAAATCATTTTTATCAAAAACCTAGGTTTTCACCTAAACCCGTAATTTTCACTAATTTACATGTTATAATCTACCCTTAAACTATGTTGTCCCCTCCGAAGATCCCCAAAGGAGAAAGAGCGTCACCCTCTCGGTCTCTACTGGGTGCCATCTCTTATCCTGGCCGGTGGAGCTTGCTAACTATCTGAAGCCTTTGGCTTAAGAAAAAGATAGAGAGAAGATGCAACCTCTCTCGGGAGAGTTTTTGTTGAACAATGCCATGCACAACGCAACAACGGTATATTCTTTGTTTCCTCCGTTATTTCTTCTATCTCTGACATAGTAGGATTTTGAATTCGCATTTTCATTTTGCAGGCCAACTTTCTTGCTTCCGAGGGCCTCCAAAGGCTGATTCGTGACAAGGAGGAACTTACCTCCGAGCGGGATCAACTTTTGGTCAAGCAAAATCAAACTGTTGCTCGCCTACTGGAAGCACGAGCTATTGAGGCTGTTGTGTTGGAGGCTCGGTTGCAGCAAATCGAGCAAGAAGTAGTGACCCTTAGAAAAGAGGTCGCCCCGTTGAGGGCTCAATTTGAAGAATCTAGGGCCAAATGGGTTGAAGTCCATAATGTTGTTCTTGCTGCATCCGATCACGAGGCTGCCTCCGCTGAAAGATTAAATAATTTGGAGGTGGCCTCAAACTCCAAGGTTGAAGAAGTTACTGGTACCGAGGCGAAGTATGCCCAATTTGAGGAGAAGTATAAGAAGACCAGTGAGCACAATAGAATTTTTAGCTCTATTATCCATGACCTTGATTTTAGCCTCCGGATTGTTAGATCTGCGTGGAATAACCTTTTCGCTGAGGTTGATCGACTTAAAGAGGAACTTCAGCGCTGAGCGACTTCCCTCGTTGTTGAAAAAACATATGCTATGTACAGCATGAGGAGCAATACCTTGGAAGAGGCCAAAGCGGGTGTCATTGATTTTGATGCCAAAATCGCTAAGGCTCGTGAGCTAGAGTTAACTGCAAAAAGGGGTCTTCTGGCCCGACCTTGTCACGACCCAAATCTACCATGTCGTGATGGCGCCTAACGTGGAACTAGGCAAACCGACTCTTTTATCGAAACAACCCGATATTTCAAAATAAAGATTTCTTCAAGCTATTTAACTAATAAAACTTCATAAGATAAATCTAAATAACATAGTGCGGAAAGAAAAGCCCGATATCGGGGTGTCACTAGTCATGAGCATCTACAAAAAAAAAATGTCCGAAAATGCTAAGAGTAATACAGTCTAGAAACCAACTAATAATATCTAAAGGAAGATAGGAGGGAGAAGAGCAAGGCTGCGATTGCCATGCAGCTACTTTGCCAACTCCAACAAATCCGCGATGGATAGCAACCCCTGGATCTGCACACAAGGTGCAGGGAGTAATGTGAGTACGCCAACTCATTAAGTAATAAAAGTAAATAAAGACTGAGCAATAGGAAACACATAAAGTCCACATCATGAAATCTCAGTAAGGACAACATGCTTTCAAATCAGTATATGAGTCAAATCATCTCGTTTAAAAAAAATCCAGTTTTTGGTAAAAATCCTTTGAAGATATTTTTCAATAGTTTCAAGAGGGGCTCCAGGCAAAAAGAGAGTAAAAGTAATGAAAAATATAAACAACCCCTCAGGAAAACATCGGTCGTAAACAGCCCCTCGGGCAACATGAAACATAAACAGCCCCTCGGGCGAACCTCACAGTCACTCGTATACAGCCCCTCGGGAATATCTCATATCACTCAATCAGGGTACCCGCGCTCACTGGGGGTGTGCAGACTCCGGAGGGACTCCTACAGCCCAAGCGCAATAACAAGCCACCTCGTGGCATAAATCAAACAGGCCCTCGGCCTCTCATAATCATAAATCAGTAACAACATGCTGCGGCGCGTAGCCCGACCCCATAATATCCTCACAAAAATAGGCCATCGGCCTCACTCAGTCATAAATCTCTCAAGCCACTTGGGCTATCAGTAAAAAAAACAAGGTGCTCAGCCCAAAATATCATTTTATGCATCAAAACGGAGTAATAAAGATTGAGTTATGAAATCAGTAAACATAGCATGACTGAGTATAGATCTTAAATCAAAACAGTGGGATGATAATAAGAAAAGGCCCCTAAAGGGTCCAAACAGCTTTGGCACAAGGCCCAAATATGGCATTCAACCCAATTTATAGTAGTTCTTTCTAAAACACAAAAGAATCATATAGTTTTCAGTCAAATATGCAACTTTATAGTTGCTAC